TTTATGAATTGTCCTCCGAATAAAATGTGCTGGTTCCGATTATCCCGCTACTTTCTTTTTCTCTATTTTTCACTCAGGCTAGGTCTGAGAAGCATATCGGACAACCCAATCAAAGTAGCAGCAATAGCAGTAGCCGAACTGGTGGAGTTCGATTGGGGACCAAGCATACTGGCGCACCCAAAGTAGTGTTACGCGCCAATCGTTCTGGCGCTTATGAGCACGAGGTGGTGGATACTGCTGGAGGCAAGGGCGAAGACGCCGAAGAAGATGAAGAAGAGGATGAAGCTGCTGCTGCGTTTCAGCGTCAGAAAGCCGCTTTTTCAGCCCGTCTAGCCGCCGGAAGGCCCAGCATCCGGCGCCAAATCAAGTCCCCGGCGCACAACTCAACGAGCACTCCTTCCGAAACTCCCGTCGTCTCACGAAGCCGGACACCAACAGCAGCTAGTATTAAATCACCTCTAAGTGCATTCTTCACCCCACCTCCGCCGATTCCGGTGTCTAATGGCGTTGGTGCCAATGCTGGCGCACGGCCCATTCCCGCAGGATCGGCGCGTCATCTGCGCGCCTGGCGCCAGTTGGCCAAAAAGGTGGCCGCCAAGGCTGGTCGCCAACGCTTGGCTTGGCGGAGGGAACGACAGCTAATAGATCGCAAGGCCTTCCGAGATTTGTTGCGTTTGCATCGTCAGAAAGCTCTCTTGTCACAGAAGATTGCACGTGATGCAGTTGGTAGGTTCTCTTTATTTTATCATTCCTCAGCTATGGGTAAAGAACGTATTGACAAAAGTCACAAACCTTTCGGTCTTTCATAAAGTCTACAGGGAGACAATCAGGCCCTTGGTGTGTGGTGCATTCTAGTAGTGGGGTACTGAAACCATCAGAACGCGATCTAGTGCAACGGCTCTGCAATATTATTTCAAAAACCGAATAGATAAACCTACCTTACATGAGACAAGTGCAATATCATCTACCCTTGGACTAGCATGGCAGATACTGTCATTGTCATAAAACCAGCTCATTTTCGGGCATTAAATTGTCAAGTGAATCCTCCGAGCGTGCCGAGGGTGCTCACATATAGTGCGAGAATTGTCATAGTTTTTCAAAATAATTAATGCAATAGATTCTGAATATTCCTTGTTGTTTGTATGAATTTTGTGAACTTAGGGACACTTAAAACTTTTTTGATGCAACAGGAAGACCTTGCGGAATCTAACATTGGTACATTCCCAGTCGTTTCGCCAGCATTTTAGTCGGCATCATCAGTTGTCTTCCTTTGAGCCGAGCCAAAACTCCTCAAAGTGACAATTAAGGGCAATCCTCCATACCTATTTTCTTTTTAACTGTTGTGACATTCTTCTCTGTCGTGGCTCCTGACATTGCACTCTCATTCCTCGTTCTCACATCATACGGCCTATTTTCCTATCTGCATCTCATTTTATCTTCATTTATTTCAGTACCTCTTAAACATGTGTCCTTCCCTGTGGGTTTAGTGAGGCGTAATCTTCTCCGCCTGTTTCACATCCAATTCTGCAATGCTTCCTGATCCCATTTTGGTCTGTTTCAGGCCTTATTAACAGACCGGGTGCCAGGGATTTCTTGTCAAATCTTCTTTGCTGAGCACTGCCTTAAAGTTGTCTTTTGGCTCCAGCTTCTTAAGGCTACATATTACACCTTTACGGCGGAAAAAGTTATGGAAGTAGAATTTAGGGTATTCTAGCTACAGATTACTCATTTTAGAAATGTCGTTGAGACGGTGGGTGGGCGGGATTCCTCATTTGGCCTCTTCGGAAAAGGAATGGGCTTTTACGAAAACTCGTCAAAAAGCTAAACCAAGGAATGCGGCTTTTTGTAATCATACCTATTGCATATATGCAATTTAGGATCGTAACTTATCCCATGGCCTGGCTGGCTACTTCTTGTGAAAGAGTGATGTGGAGATTTGAAAGTATATTTCATCACGACTGTTAAGTCTTGCTAAGCTTTCATCCGTCATATGATGAGCATCTTCAGAGCAAAGTATCATTCTTATAATTAAATCAAGCTGACGAGTCAAGAAAATTAACCTTCTTATTCCTGCATTTTTGTGTTATATATAGTGATTTAGCTAGTTTTATGTCATTCGCCAATCTAGAAGTATGTGCATGTGTATATGCGTTTGCGTGTATTTAAAGTTACGAAATTAACAGTGATAGCTGAGTAATAATAATAAGTAGAAGTGGTATCCCGTAACATCCGTCCTCTGTCATCAAATTCTTACTGATCTTTTTAACCATCATACTGATTACGTCTGGTTAACTTGATGAAAGGCCAAAGCTTAGCGCCTCTTTGTCGGAACCGGACGAGATTTTTTTGAGAACTATAAATCAACATATTCCATTAAAGACAAACGACTCCTGGCTAAAAGAAATTCGCCGCCGTTTTCTGGTAAGATCTACCATCAAATCTCTACTTCACACACTTTCACTCTATTTGGAGGGAACTTCCACAATTGTAAACCAAGATATTCCTGGAAACTCTACTAATACTACTATTACAATCACCACTGCCTTTACCACTAATACTACTTCTTCACGATCAACTTAGATGTTTGAGGATGAATGATGAGAAAAGGAGGTGGATATGGTCACATCAATTTCTTTTATAATCTACTTCAACTTCAAACAAGCTCTATACAGCTAAAGGAGACAGTGACCAAGCATAATGCTAAACTATCTTGGGTTTCGTTTGTATGATTTAATTAGGAACGATTGCTTGCTCTAAAATGTGCTGCTTTCCATTTGCGCTTCCAAGTACTTGTAGCAGGATTCATGCTGACATTGATGTGCAAGACGAGATTTAAGTTCAACTAAACATGGTCATATGGCTAATTTTAACATTCGAATTGATTGGCATTTCGATACCATAGATCTTGAATAAGAGCTCGGTCATCATAGGTCGCTTAAGGTGATGAAGGACTGATAATTAATATTTTAACATTGAGATAAGCAGGCTTCGCAATATAACTGAATTCCATTTGGCCTTGCTTCCAAAATGTGCTTTTATCCAGGATGGACCGCGGTTTCGACCTCGCCTGGGTCTCGCCAGCATCTCCAAAAGAGATCGAACTCGGGTTGGAGTAATGCAACATACAATTAAGATACGTTGGCATCACGCCACGAATACCAGCCGATCACAGGACAAAAATGAATTTCAATGCAAGCTATGCCCCTCTATCAAATTACATAATCTGAGGAAAGCATGAATTTGTCATTACAGTCGTCAACGCTACTTGTATTTTAATGAACCACCAATAGATCTTGAATGAGAGCATTGGTCACCGAAGGTCGCTTAAAGTTCTGAATAAGCAATAATGAATTTTCTAAAAATGAGATAAGTAGGCCGGACGATGCCACTGAATTTTACGTAACATGAGGCCTACTTATCTCATTATGGGGAAAATACACTATCAGACCCTCACTATCTCACAGACTTGTGGTTATCAAAATCTTATTCAAGAACCACCTATAGTCTTAAAATCCTACTTAATTCGAATTCAAGTAGCGTTATCAATTGTAATGGCAAATGCATATTTGAGATTCACTCCTTCCTTGTGACAGACTGGCAGTGTGACGCACTGGTAGCATGCCTAAATTATGCATTGCTCTACCCGGGTTTGATTCCAACTGGGGATATTGATAAGACCTAGGCGAAGTCGAAACATCCTTCCTGAATGAGAATATTTTTTTAAAATTCTAAGTTAAATTCAATTGCATCGTAAGGCCTACCCATCTGCTTATATGAAAATTCTTTATTAATCTCTTATGATCTTAACCTCTTGCCTTTATTAATATTTGCTTATCTTTACTGATTATGACTG